CTTTTCTATCTCTATGACAAGCAGGTCCTTACAGCTTGGACCAAGGCAACTATCTATAATAATATGTGTAATATGGTAATTGGACCGGATAGCCAAGTGACCTTCCAGACATCATTCCAGACGTCCTTCCAGACAAAGCTGTGGGGTTCAGGCAAAAGCAGTTAGGGACAATCAGGCAGGTAGGCGAGCAGTTGGGGCAGTCAGGCAGGCAGAGTGGTTAGGGGCAATCAGGTAGGCTGGCAGGCAAGCATCCCAGATTGTGAGAGGGTGCAAGCAGGCTGAAGGACCAGTTCCCCTCCCCCAGTTTCGTTACCAGACCTCTAGAGAGTGTGTGTGTGTGTGTGTGTGTGTGTGTGTGTGTATTAGAGGCCCGGTGCATGAATTTGTGCATGGGTGGGGTCCGGCCAGGCTGGCCAGGGGGAGGGGACATGGGTGGTTGGCCAGCCTGCCTGCTGGTTGAACTTGTCGAGGGGACACTTTGCATATTAGCCTTTTATAGTATAGGATATACATTGAGTGGCCAGATTATTATGCATTCCAAGATCATAATAATCTGGCCCCTCAGTCTGTGTGTGTTTATTTGGTTTCCTAATAGTTTATTTAGGAATTTTGCATCTATGTTTATGAACAAGATTATTCTGTGAAAAATTTTCCCCCTTTTTCTTATTTTTCACTTTGGGTCTTGGTATAATGTTTAGGGAGTTAGTTGCATAAAATTAGATAGATAGGATTCCCTTGTTTTCTAGTCCTTGGAATGATTCATGTAACAAAATTCCAAATGGTTCCCCTTATTCTCAGATAATATGTTGCGAGACCCCCAGTGGATGGCTGAAACTATGAAAAGTACTTAACCCTATGCAGGGATGGGCAAAAGTGGGTTTACAATTCTTAGTACACAACAAAGTTTATTCTTGTTTATTATTAATTTTTTTTCCATATGAAGACACCTTTTGCCATTCCTTGTATATGCTAAATTTTTCCTACACATACCTACCTTTTTACTTGAAGGAAGTAATTTTATGCTGCTCTTTGGCATATCCGAAATGCCAGCATCACAACTCTTACATGTTGGGGCCCTTACTAAGTAAAATAATTATGAACACTTAACACTGGGATACTACAACAATCAATCTGTTAATCCACATGGCTAAGTGACTAACTGTGAGTAGTATTTACAGAGTGTATACAATGAGGAAGGAACGATTTATATCCTGGGCAAGACAGAGTGGGACTGTGTGAGATTTCATCATGCTGCTCAGAACTGTGCAGTTTAAAACTTACGTATATATAGTTTATGAAACTTTCTGATCACTATTAATTGCAGGCAACAAATTGGAAAGTGAAACCATAGATAAAAGCAATATTGTATTTCTTCCTCAATTATTTGGTAGAACTCACTAGTAAAGCCATCTATTAATAGATTTGGTTATTTTATTGTGTTGAAAGATTTATTGACTATTTAGTTTCTTAAAAGTATTTTTTTCCTTGATTATTTTTGGTAAGGTGAAGTTTTTCTCCAATTTACTCAATTTTCAAATGTTATATAAAAAATTTGTAAGATTTGCCTGTGATTTTTGACTGTGGTGATCCTGTGCCTGTTGCTTTATAGGAAGTACTTTAAAATTTTGGAATGTTTTGAGATTTTCTTTTTTGTTGAAATATAATATAGTTTAGATGTAAAAATTATAAGTATAACTTTATACAAGTGAAAATAGTAGTGTAGCAAGCATCCAGATAAGGAACAACATTACCTATATTTAAGAAATCCCTTCTTAGTCACCTTTTAGTTATGTATCTATCTAAAGGTTTCTTCTACTGTCCTGATTTAAGATTAGGTTCCCTTGTTTTGAATTCATGTAGCATTGTTTAACGCTGTACCATGTTTTATGCCTGGCTTCTTTTACTTAACTTTCTTTGTAATGTTAATCTATATTATGTGAAGCACTAGTTTATTTACTCTATAACTGTTATATTCCAATTTACCTATTATCCTGCTGTTGATAGGCATTTGCGCTTTCTGTTTTGACTATTGTGATATTGCTATGAACATTTTTATGTCTGTCTGGTGGTGAACAATTGTATGTATTTCTGTTGAATTAATACCAAGGAATGGGTCCTGGAGCTTACCTTTTAAATTTTTATTTTAAGACTTCTATTTAACTTCCTCTCCTTAGTCACTGCATGGTGGTATTTTTATTTTTATTTTTTTACTTTCAATGTTTTGTACGTATATTTTTATTAGAGGCCTGGTGCATGAAATTTATGCACAGAGTCGGAGGGGGAGGTGTCCCTCAGCCTAGCATGCACCCTCTCCAATCTGGGACCCCTCGAGGGATGTCTCACTTCCCATTTAGGGCAGTCGGACATCCCTCACACAATCCAGGACTGCTGGCTCCCAACTGCTCACCTGCCAGCCTAATCACTCCCTAACCACTCTCATGCCAGCCTGATTGATGTCTAACTGCTCCCCTGTCAGCCTGTTTGCCACCAACTTACCTCCTTTGCCGGCCTGGTCACCCCTAACTGCCCTCCCCTGCAGGGTTGATCACCTCCAACTGCCCTCCCTTTGCAGACCTGGTCCTTCTCAACTGCCCTCCCTTTGCAGACCTGGTGTCTCCCAACTGCCTTCTCCTGCTGGCCATCTTGTGGTGGCCATCTCGTGTCCACATGGGGGCAGGATATTTGACCACATGGGGGCAGCCATCTTGAGTGTTGGAGTGATGGTCAATCTGTATATTACTCTTTTATTAGATAGGATAGAGGCCTGGTGCACAGTGGGGTCCTGAAGGGTGTCTCAGATCAGAGTGGGGATTCCCTTGGGGCATGTGGTGGCCTGAGAGAGGGGCCTGTAGTGGTTTGCAGGCCAGCCACGCCCCCCAGCGACCCATCAGAGGCCCTGGTATCTGGGATATATTTACTTTCTACAATTGAAGCTTTGTAGTGGAGCCAAGGCTCCTGTTGGCTCCATGGCAGCAGCCGTTTCTGTTTGGACTTTTTTTACCTTCTGTAATTAAAACTTTGTAGTCTAGAGTGGAGGCTTAGTCCTGCTAGGGCAGGCGGAAAGCTTTGCTTCCGTTGCCAGAGAAACCCAAGCCTCTGTGGCTGCAGCCACCTTGGTTGTGGTTAATTTGCATACATGCTCTGATTGGCTGGGGGGTGTGGCTGCTGGAGCAGAGTGATAGTTAATTTGCATATTACTCTTTTATTAGATAGAATTGTTTTTTTTTGTAAGCTTTCTATATTTAAATTTTAAAATCTCTGTGCTAAGCAATGTTCCCCGTGCTATATATGTTTATGTGAACTTGAGCACTGCAATCAAAATTTTTCCCCATATTGAAAATGACATTTTTGCTGTCTTTTGGCTTATATTATTGCAGTTGAGAAGGAACCTCTTAGTTTAAATTAAATACTTTTCATGTCAAGGTAATATGTCTGCTTTAAGATTTTCTTTATTTTATTACTACTAATGCTTTGCTTTAATTTGTGGATTGGTGTTTTATGATATTCTCAAATAGGGGCCTCGGTCTAATTTCTTCTATACTTCCATGAATCATAAGTTAAACCTTTCTAACCTTTTTCTATTTTTATGTTTCCCTTTTCTATATTTTTGGATAATTTCTTCTTCTCTTTCATTTCACTAATTTTAATAGCTTTTTCTAATCTGCTAATAAACTTATCAATTGAGTTTTAAATTTCAGTTCTTTATTTTTCCATTTTTAGAAGTTATGTTTTTTCATTCAAATACGTTAATTTACTTTTTATAATTTTTATTCAGAGTTGTCTTATTTCTTTAAAATTATAAAGAAATTATAATTTCTTTAAAATTATAAAATTATAAAGTAATCTGATAATTATAATATCTTAAGTGTTTGTGGATCTGTTCTTGACGTCTGATATTTTGGCTGGTTCTTCCTCATAGTGGTTCTTGTTTCCTTAGGCACTTAGTTATTTTTGACTTGATAATGTTCACTGTCCTAGAAATGTCATTAAGGCATAGAATGAACATGCTCTCCTAGGCAGGACTTGGAATTATTTTGAATACACTTTCATTAGTTTCAGAAAAGAAGGGAAAGGGAGAGACAGAAATATCAGTAATGAGAGAGAATCATTGATTAGCTGCATCCTGCTCGCCCCTCACTGGGGACTGAGCCAGCAACCTGGGCATGTGCCCTGACCAGTAATTGAACCATAACCTTTTGGTTCATAGGTCAGTGCTTAACTACTGAGCTACTGAGCAATGCTGACCAGGCCTTGGAATTATTGATATTAGGTGCTGGAGGTATAACCAGTAAGGGGGTCACTGAGTTCATTTGTTAAGGTTCTTTGAACTACTTAATTATGTGAACCTTAGTAAATGTGTAGACCCATGGTCAACACTACTGAGCTCTTGCCCCCTTGTATTAGTTTTTTACTTAATACCAAGGCAGCCTTCTCTGCTGTCCCCTGTGTGTGGTGATGGGGGCAAGGGCACATTTGACCCTTGGCTTATTCTTTTTTTTCCGCAGGTGTTATCTTTTGGGGGATGGCGTAGTATTCCACATTAATGTCAGGAGGTCTATTATTTGGCATTCTACCTCAACAGATTTAGATTTTCCCACTCTCCTTGCCCTATACGAACACCAAAACTGAACTCTAGATGATTTCTCAGTGTTGACAAGTGTCCAGTGGACATAAATGGATATAGTATAATGCTCCAGTGCTCCATTTACTTCCCTGGGTTTCTGAATTCTCTTAGATTTTAACAGAGAAATTTGTGGCACTTTAAAAATATACTTAATTTGCACATTTCTTTTGTCAATTTTAGTTTTTGTAGTTGGAAGTTAATGTAAATAAACTAGCTTGCCACTAATAAAAATGAAAATAAATTGGGAAATGTTCAATAAAATGCTTTTCATTAATTAGGTAAGTGAATTACTGTGAATTAGGAATCTTACTTTTCATGTTTATTATGAATGTTTTTTAATTTTTTGATTTGCAATTAATCATTTTCTTGTTTTTAGGGGTAAAAATATTTCCATCATGGCTCATTCAAAGACAAGGACCAATGATGGAAAAATTACTTATCCTCCTGGCGTCAAGGAAATCTCAGATAAAATATCGAAAGAGGAGATGGTGAGACGGTTAAAGGTGAGTAAAATTGGGTTTTGTTTGCCACCCCCCCCCCCCCCCCCCCCCGCCTCCCCCGACATCCCTTTAAGGGTGTGGGGCTCGATTAGTGCTGTATCTTGTTAGGGTAACTTTAAAAAGCAAATCAAAGCAGGGAATGGGAGGGAAAGGATCAATAAAGAATTGTATGGTTTCTTAGCTATTGTTAATAGGAGAGCAATTAGAAAAGGTGAGGCTTAGATTTTCTATGGTCTACTATAGTTTAGTATAAAGAAAAAAATCCATAATATTCATATTCATTTTTGTCTATAGAAAGTTGTCTCCTATGAAAAAGGAAGTTTTAAAATTTTGTACTGAATACTCAGGCTATATTTTGCTTTTTCATAAGTTATTTAAGAGTAGGTTAAAGCCGAAACTGGTTTGGCTCAGTGGATAGAGTGTCGGTCTGCGGACTGAAGGGTCCCAGGTTTGATTCCGGGCAAGGGCATGTACATTGGTTGTGGGCACATCCCCGGTAGGGGGTGTGCAGGAGGCAGCTGGTCGATGTTTCTCTCTCATGGACATTTCTAGCTCTCTATTCCTCTCCCCTCCTCTCTGTCGGAAGTCAATAAAATATATTAAAAAAAAAAAAAAAAAAAGAGTAGGTTAAAGAGCTTTACTGTATCTTTTCTCTCTGTTTTGACATACATGAGTGAATCAACATTGATGGTGAACTTTTATAAATGAGGCCGTCATTCTATGGCTAGAGCCTCTTCCTATGTATTAGAATAATATGTCTCCTTTTCCTTCATGGCTGTGAAGGTCTTTGATTGTTAAAATGGCTAAAGGAAGGAGAATGTTAGATTAATTTACCAGTTGTATTTTTAAAATTTTTGAGTACTTTCCCCCCCTCTTGGTTGAATCAACTGAGTCATTTATTTTACTTGATCTATCATTATTTACTTATATTTCAAGATAAGAAACTTGCCATAATTAATCAATGAAGGCCCAGGATCTTTAAAGCAAAGTACTGTTTTATAGCTATTGCTACATGCTTTATTTTTATTAGAAGGTAAACCACTACTCTGATTTCATGGTGAAGTCTTATAGTGTTATAGTTTTATGCTTAAAGTATTAGGATGTCAAATATCACATGCTTGTTATTAAAACACAAATATATCTTTGAGCAGGTTCAATTTACCAGTATGTGGATATTTTATCTAGTTAGAAATCAGTATATATCTTACTAAAAATAGTCAAGCTATTAATACAAACCCTTTCTGTATAGGGTGTTGTGTTTTTTTTCTTCTATGTATATACATCTCTTGACCTATAGAATTTTTAGGGAAACAAATACATTTATTTCCTGATATTTATTTATATTTTAGCAGTGGTAGGTAAACAACCCTATTATTTGCTAAGAACCTTATATTAAACACAGAGACTAAACTTAGAAGTTGATTAGTGTATGACTTTTAGAGATGTTATTTTCTCTGGCATCTTTTTTAATTCAGTGGACTTATGAGTTACTGATGAGATTATACCACCATTTAAGTTGTAGACAGTAGTGAGGAATTCCCCCTTATTTAGCCTTTGAGTAAACTTATTTGTTAGACTATTTTGTATAGTGCTTACATTTAGTATTTATAGTACTAGAGGCCCGGTGCATGAAATTTGTGCAATGGGAGGTGGAGGGGGTGTCCCCTCAGCCAATCTGGGACCCCTTGGGGGGATGTCCAATTGCAGGTTTAGGCTCATTCTGGGGATATCCCTCTCACATTTCGGGACCACTGGCTCCTAACTGCTCATCTGCCTGCCTGCCTGATTGCCCCCAACTGCTCCCCCTCCCCCTGCTTGTCTGGTCGCCCCTTACTGCCTCCTCTGTTGGACTTCACTGTCCCCACCTCCTGCTGGTCTGGTTGCCCCCAACTGCCCCTCCTGTTTGGTTGCCCCTCACTGCCTCCCCCACACTCCCACCCCTCTACCAGCGCCGCACTGGTCGCCTCACCCAGCTTGTTTGGTCATTTGGTCGTACTTCACTAACCCCCCTGCTGGCCTAGTCACCCCATGCAGCCTTTTCAATCATATGTTCAGTTGCAGTGGTTGCTTAGGCTTTTATTATTATAAATGCTTTCATTATAGTTGAGATATTTATGCCCAACTGTATTTTGGTTAATATAATTTATCTTCTTTAATTTTCCTAATTTACACTTACCACTATTTTAGCAAACTTCTTATATAAATATAAACAGGATTTGGTGTGGGATGATAATAATTTTTAACATGTCCGAGTACAACTGCTAGTTTTACTAGTATAAATTATAACAATTTGTTAATATGTAAGATTCACTTTAGAGAAAGAAATAGCTCTCTGCATATAGGTATTTTTTTCTTTGTCTCTTTTCACAATACAATAGGTCATCAAAACGTATATCTTGAAAGTAATAAAATTAAAAAGTTAAGAGAGTAATCTGGACATTATACCCTGGAAGGTTTAGTGTACTTTTGATTCTGGCATCTGACATAATAGAACTGAGGGTCTATTCTGTGAGGAACAGTTTCTCACGGCTGTTCTGAGAATTCAGTAAGACATTGGACATTTATTACTCAGACGTCTAGCTCTACAGCAGAGTGGAAATCCTAGCAGCATGTCTCCAGGACCATTTCCTAGACATTGATAACTTGATGGCTAGCCCTGGTTGTTGATTAGTATTTGCAGCACCACCTAGTGGATGCCAGATGGTCAACTTTCCTGTGCCTTTGTGAAGTTAGGCAATTTTGTTGTCTTATTTGAAGTGGTAATAGTATAGACGAGAGACTACTGGTACTGAAATTAGAAGGAGATCTTCACAGAATTTAAACTGTACTGTTTCTCCCCATTCTTATGTTTATCCCACTTCTTTAATGTAAATGTTTTTGGAAAAGGAACCTTTCTAGTAGGTTCATTCTATACATGCTATTGAGTCCTACTAATGAACTATCCATTTCATATTAAATTTTACTTCGGGACAAGAAATACTTTGTTGGATGCTATGGTAGTCTCTCAGGATAGCTTTCCCACATTTAGGGATGCATCTTTGCCATCCTTTCTTGAATCTATTTACATATTCTTTTTTTTAGCTGAATATATTAATCCATGTATCTGGAGTGGTTTATAGCTCAGATGGAAAAGTAAATTGTCATTCTAGGTTTTTCTTTAGATGTATACTTTTCTCTTAATAAAAGGATTAGATATATTAAGAGGATGTGTTTTTAAGAAGGGACATACTCCTTTTATTCCAGTTGTATCAATGATGTCAGAAGCACTATGTAAAGATAGCTTTAAATTTTTAAAATCTGGTTAGCTGATATGCATAAATTAAAAGTATTTTACTTTGTCTTTTAAAGAAAAGTTATTTACCCTAGAGTTTATAAGAATCTTGTTCTCTCAGGTAGACACTTCCAGGGGGAAAAATAAAAGGATATTTATTGAAAGTTTAACCTTTGCAATTAATATGGCTTTTATTTCAAATAACTTTATTTTTACATGAAGGATTTCATTATTTGATTATTGTGTTTTTGTATAGATGGTTGTGAAAACTTTCATGGATATGGACCAGGACTCTGAAGAAGAAAAGGAGCTTTATTTAAACCTGGCTTTACATCTAGCTTCAGACTTTTTTCTCAAGCATCCTGATAAAGATGTTCGCCTACTGGTAGCCTGCTGCCTGGCTGATATTTTCAGGATTTATGCTCCTGAAGCTCCGTACACATCTCCAGATAAACTAAAGGCAAGTACTGATTTAAAGAACTGCCAAGATTGACTGATACTTCTATTTATCTTCCTAACTAAAATGGGAGTTAAAGTGTTTAGGTAATTTCTTTGGCTTCTTAGACATTAAACATTAGCTAAGAAATCTTTTGTGAAACTTCTTGTTTTCTTTAGAATTTACTTCCTCCCCATAACGCTATTCCCATTAAGTACTTGCTTTTAGAAAACAGTTTCTGGTGTTTATTCTATACTTTTTATGTCGTCATTAGCTTTATTTCCATATTACTTGGGGGACAATTGTTTTTCCTTTTGAAAAACTGTGTTAAAGACCATGTTTGTTATTTAAATACAGTATCCATTATAAACCTGAATATATATAATCCATTTATTTATATCCTAACTCATTTAATGGAAGGTTTGATCTGAATTGTGTTGAAGAAAATAATATGAACAAAATTTTAATGAAAAAGAAAAAGACCTAATTATAGTAGGCGTAAATAAAGCCTCATGCGTGGTAAATCTTTAAAATATGAAAAAAGTGGAATAGCGTGATTAATCTAGCTGTAGAAAAAGCATACAATAAGAAAAATTAATAAGGTAAGTTAGGAAGAAAATTAGAAAAACTGACAACAAAAGACACAGTAAAAGAGAATTGTGACAAATTGATTAGAGAATGAGTCCATGGGAAGATAATTAGTACCCAGTGTGAAAAAATGGCAGTCAATTTAGGTTTATTTAATAAATATTGATCTTAATTATGTGTCAGGAGCTAAGTTTCTCTGGTGAAAAATAAGACTTGATTCTTTAATTTATGCAGTTGCTTCTTGATATAGGAGTGAGTATGGAATGCCTAGACTTGATGGATATACTTGCTTTACATTTTGATTGGTAAAACAATCTCAGGATGGTGGTGGTAGGAGCTAGTATTTGTTACTTAAAACTAGAATTAAACATTGAAAGAGTTGAGAATGATCAGAGACTTTAGTAACTAATGGGAGCTGATTTGTGTAGTTGTACACCCAAGTGTATATCTTGACTTCTAATTTGAATGTCTCATTTGGAAGTACTTAATTGGTTTAAGGAGTGATTTCTATTTGACTGTGGCTCTTCCTCACCTGGTGTCTTCTTGGCATTCTCATGAAGAGGGAAGTGTAACTTAGTGCTGCTACATGATTTCTTCTACCTCTATTGTGTATTTCTCAGGACAATTTATGAGAAGAACATTGAAGAGTTGAGATTAGAGTCTTTGGATTACTTCATAGCTGAAAAATTAAGAGTATCTTATTTTTTCTGGTCTGTTTTGGGGATCTTAATTCTAAATACTTTTTTTTCATTTTATTGGGGTAGTACTTATAAACTATTCATTTTGAGGGTGTTTTTAAGTATTTATGGAATAGTTTTCACTCTATTTGCATCGAAGTTACAATTTTCTTAGTCTATAGTATTATAGTAATAATAGAAAATTGTGACACTTTGTTTTGTTTTTGTTTTTTTAATAAAGAGAGAGAGATAGAGAGTTAGAAACATTGATGAGAGAAAATCATCGACCAGCTGCCTCTTGCGCACCCCCTACTGGATATGTGCCCGCAATCAAGGTACATGCCATGCCCTTGACCGGAATCGAACCTGGGACCCTTGAGTTCGCAGGCCAATGCTCTATCCACTGAGCCAAACTGGTTTTGGCAAATTGTGACACTTTGATTATCACCTTTCCACTGTCAGTTTATTGTTGTCATAGGAAAACCCTTTATACCTAACTTCACATTTAGGTCAGTGATTGTTGGAGAGATTATAAATGACTGTTGCCTTTCCATCTTCAGGTAGTCAACATGACAGTTTCCATAGTCAAACCAGAAGGGTTTATTCATGGAGGACATATTTTTCACAGTACTGTCATAGTAATCATTTTTGAAGAATGTACTTTTGACAATGTTTTTCTTGAAAATATACTTAGTTATCTGCATATTACATTTCTTTCCTTTAAAAAATATGCTTGTTTATCATTTTACTTCTAAGGCAGGGGTGGGCAACCTTTAAGACATAAAGAGCCACTTGGACCCGTTTTTGAAGGAAAAAAACAAATCTCAGAGCCGCAAAACCATTGCGACATAAGTGATACAACTCCCTACCCCACCCTGCTATCTGCCCTGCTAGTGTCGGACCTGCTGGGGGCCACAGCAAAGGTTCAAAAGAGCCACATGTGGCTCTGGAGCCACGCCCGGAGCCGCAGGTTGCCGACCCCTGTTAAGGGAAACATTTTTCTTCTCTTTTGTTGTTGTTTGTTCTTCCTTACCAGAGGATATTTTCTCCATTGCTTTTTAGAAAGAGTGGAAAGGAGCTAGCAGGGGGTAGAGGCACAGGGAGGGAGGGAAGAAGAGAAAGAGAAAGAGAGAGAGAGATCCCCATGAGAGAGACACATGAGCTCATTTCCTCCTACCTGTCCCTCCCTTCAATCAGTGGTGGGGAGCAAACCCAAAAATAGAAAGCAAGAGATAGAGATAAATTGGGAGAGACAAATAATTATAACAATTAGATAGGAAGCTTAAAAGTTAACTTCTTAAAGGTCTTAAAATTTCTAAGCTTCTGCGAACTATTGTCTTTTTACTTGGAGATTTTATTTTGGAATTTTAAGGCTCCTAAACTATTTTCTTGCTATATAATTGCCATCCATAGGTGCTGTTCTAGCAAAGCTGATCAATTCCCAGTCAGTGCTACCTCTTTTATTCTGATGAAGTTAGCATAAATTTTAGTTCACTCACTTTTTAGGTCTATTTTATTTTAACTTGCCTTAAGATGAAAATTTTCTCTACTTTAAGATCAGAGTAAACGATTTTCTAATTTCCTATGAAGGGAGTAAGTTAATTGGTATTTTCATATGATGTCCTTTTAAAAAATTTCAGGGATAGTAATTTAATTAGTATTTTCATATGATGTCTTTTTGAAAATTTTCAGCCAAATGCAATTTTTTCTTGATTGTTTATGATTTATTAGGATAGATACTAGTGCTGAATTAGCTTTAGCATTGGATATTTTAATTTAGCATTCTATAATCTAAACAATACTTTGTTGTTGTTGTTTTTTTAGGATATATTTATGTTTATAACAAGGCAATTGAAGGGGTTAGAGGATACAAAGAGCCCACAATTCAATAGGTATTTTTATTTACTTGAGGTAAGCAATATATCATATCTTGAAATGGCATTTAAAAAAATTTTTTTTTTTGTGCTGGTACATTTGTACTAATTAAAGTGTTTATCTTTTATCTTTTTTACCTCTTATTTTAGAACATTGCTTGGGTCAAGTCATATAACATATGCTTTGAGTTGGAAGATAGCAATGAAATTTTTACACAATTATACAGAACATTATTTTCAGTAATAAAGTAAGTTTATGCAACTTTTTAAAATATGAAGGGTTTTTAACTTGCAGATGAATCTGCGTAAACTGTGTTTGTTATAAATATTGGAAGGCTAAGAGTTGTAACTTAAAAATTCATTAACATTTTTATAGATGATTTAAAAACAAATAACTTAATCAAGTTTGTGATATAGAAAATAATACAAGGGTAGCATTAAGACAATCTATTAATATACCCAATGTAAAAATATTTCTAGGGTTATGTTTTTATCTTTTTATTAACATGTATTACTAATTCATATGAATAGTTGAATTATTTGTGTGTTCTTTAAAATTACTATAATGAACTTCAGCAAAGCAATTTGATTTTCTGAAGTTAAATATAAAGTTGTATTTGAATTAATTACTTTTGATTTTGAGACTTGTTAAAATTAGGGGAAAGTAATCCAGGAAATGTAGTTTAAAAAAAGATTTTGGATACTATTAGAAGATTTGGGAGCTAGGGAAGCTTTAAATGAATATATAGAATTTGATATAATTAATATTTTAGTATCTTTTTAATAAAGTGTAATATTTATTAATACCATGTTATGATTAAATAATGAATATTTTAGTTACACCCTAAATATCTATTTTGAATTTCAGCAATGGCCACAATCAGAAAGTTCATATGCACATGGTAGACCTCATGAGTTCCATTATTTGTGAAGGTGATACAGTATCTCAGGAGCTTTTGGATACAGTTTTGGTAAATCTGGTCCCTGCCCATAAGGTAAGTAGCAATATATACTGAAACATATTTAAAGCCTATTAATATATTTTTAAAAAATATATTTTATTGATTTTTTAGAGAGAGGAAGGGAGAGATATAGAGAGCTAGAAACGGTCGATGAGAGAGAAACATTGACCAGCTGCCTCATGCACACCCACCACCGGGGATGTGCCCGCAACTCAGGCACATGCCCTTGACCGGAATCAAACCTGGGACCTTTCAGTCCGCAGACCGATGCTCTACCACTGAGCCAAACCAGTTTCGGCTAAAGCCTATTAATATGAAGGTCTAGAATTTGTATTTCTGTTGTAAATACAACTTATCCTTCTTTTAATTTAGTTTTGGAGAATCTTTTTCATTGATTGGTATTGATAAATATTAATTGTGTTTAATAAAAGTGATACACTTATTAGTCACAAATGTAATGAAAGGAAATAATTTAGTTCGTGTGATAAAATATCTGTAATAACTTTGTAATATCTCATTTTGGATGAGACGTGTTTCAAGAACTGAGTTTAATAGCTACTGAAATAATATTATATAACTTTGTATTGGGAGATGCTGCAAGCAAATAGGCCCTCGTGTAGATTAACAGGAGGGGTGAAATTAAAAGGGAAGCCTCTTCTAATTTGAAGATAGAAAATATATTGCTAACAGTATTTCTTGCCTCAGTGATGTTAATCAAGAGGAATATGTGTGTTTTTCTTTGAAAATAACTCATTTTCCTAATTACTTGTCAGGGGAGATACCATGATCATGAAAATAACTAACTTTCCAGTAAGCAGTTGGAAATATGATTCTATGATTCACAGGGATCAAGTTTGTTTGTTTGTTTATTTATTTATTTATTTATTTATTTATTTTTTATTTTTTTAAATATATTTTATTGATTTTGTACAGAGAGGAAGGGAGAGAGATAGTCAGAAACATCAATGAGAGAGAGTCATCGATCAGCTGCCTCTTGCACACCCCCTACTGGGGATATGCCCTCAACCAATGTACATACCCTTGACCGGAATTGAACCTGGGACCTTTCAGTCCCCAAGCCGATGCTCTATCCATTGAGACAAACCGGTCCCGGCAACACAGGGATCAAGTTTAAAGAGAGGGCCACAAGAATCATCAGTATAAAGATCCATGCAAACTTAAACCCTTTCTAGCAAGATGTAATCTAAGTTTATAGCTATATAGTATTCACACAAATTAATGCTTCAATGAATAAAAATGACCGCATAATGCAAAATTTCCAAATGCTTAAAATTAGTTCTTAAGTGCTAAAACACAGACACTGCACATAGCAGTATTAGATATTTTTTGTTGCTTGGTTGTTTGCTTTTTTAATGTAAAGAAATTAACTTTTTAAATTTCTCAATTTATTGGGGTGACATTGGTCAACATGAACATAGAGGTTTTAGATGTGAGTTTCTGTTATAAGATCTGTAAATACTGTGTACACACCACTCGAAGTCAAATCTTCTATTATCATATAACTAGAGGCCCGGTGTATCCCTTTGGGATTGGGCCTAAACGGGCAGTTGGACATCCCTCTCACAATCCAGTACTGCTGGCTCCCAACTGCTGGCCTACTGCCTTCCTGATTGCCCCTAACTGCTTCTGCCTGCCAGCCTTATAACCCCCTAAACACTCCCATGCCAGCCTGATTAATGCCTAACTGCTCCCATGCTTGCCTGTTTGCCCCCAACTTCCCTCTTCTGTCGGCCTGGTCACCCCTAACTGCCCTCTCCGGCAGGGTTGATCACCCCCAACTGCTCTCCCCTGCTGGTCATCTTATGGTGGCTATCTTGTGTCCACATGGGGGCAGGATCTTTGACCATATGGGGGCAGCCATCTTGTGTGTTGGAGTGATGGTCAATCTGCGTATTACTCTTATTAGATAGGATAGAGGCCTGGTGCACAGTAGGGGCCACCTGGTTTGCCCTGAAGGGTGTCCCAGATCAGGGTGGGGGTTTCCTTGGGGCATGGGGTGATCTGGGAAAAGCCTGTGGTGGTTTGCAGGCCAGCCACATCCCCTGGTGAACCAAGAGGAGGCCCTGGTATCTGGAATTTATTTTCCTTCTACAATTGAAATTTTGTAGCCTGGAGTGGAGCCAAGTCTCCTGCCGGCACCCATTTCTGTTTGGATTTGTTGAACTTCTATAATTGAAACTTTGTAGCCTTGAGTGGAGGCCTCGGCTGGCTAGGGCAGGCAAAAGCTTGGCTTCTTCCATTGCCAGAGAAACCCAAGCCTCCCTCCTGCTCTCTGTGACTGTAATCATCGTGGTTGGGATTAAGTTGCATATTCACTCTGATTGACTGGTGGGTGTGTCTGGTGGGTGTAGTGGAGGTATGGCCAATTTGCATATTACTCTTTTATTAGATAAGATAGGATCCTCTTCCCTCTGGTAATCACCAAACTGCTATTTGTGTTCATGAGTTTCAGTTTTATATCCCACAAATGAGTGAACTTCTATGGGTCTTAGCTTTTTCTGACTTTTTTCTCTTATCATAATGTTCTGAAGGTCCATCCATGTTGTTGTAAATGGCACTATTTCAGCCTTTCTTATGGCTGAATAGTATTCCATTGTGTATATGTACCACATTTTCTTTATCCAGTCTGCTATCTCAGGATACTTTGGTGGTTTTCATGTCTTGGTCACTGTGAGTAATGTTGCAATGAAAATAGGGGCTCATATATCTTCGTGAACACATGATTTTGAGATTTTCAGGTATATACCCAGGAGAGGGATTACTGAGTCCTCTGGTAGCTCTATTATTAATTTTCTAAGGAATTGCTGGACTGCTTTCCATAGTGGTTGTACCAATCTACATTCCTACCAGCAATGAATGAGGGTTTCCATTTTTCTACAACCTCTCTAAATTGGTTGCTTTGTTGATAATGGCCACTCTTAACAGATGAGAGGTGATATCTCATTGTAGTTTTGATTTGCATTTCCCTAATTGCCAGTCAGGTTGAATGTCTTCTCCTATGTCTTCTTGTTCCTATGTCTTATTTTCAGATCATCTTCCTCCTTTTTTACTGGGTTGTTTGGAGAGTTTTATGAGTTCTTTGGAAATTAAACCTGTGTTGGAACTACTGTTTGCAAATATCATCTCCTATCTGATAAGCTGCCTTTTTATTTACAGTCAGTTTTTTTTTTTGAGATGCATAAGCTTTTTAGTTTGATATAGTCCCATTCATTTATTTTTGCCTTTATTTCCTTTGCCTTTGGGATAAATTTCATAAAAGGTTCTCTACAACCAAGGTCCATAAATTTGGAACCTGTTTTTTATGTTAGTTATTGCTTTGGGTCTTATATTAGGTCTTTGATCCATTTTGAATTAATTTTTGCACATGGAGACAAACTATAATCCAATTTCATTTGTTTGCATGTGGCTTTTCAGTTTTCCCAGCACCATTTATTGAAGAAAATATCTTTACACCACTGTGTGTTTCTGGCTCCTTTGTCAAAATATCTGTCCATATACATGTGGTTTTATAGCAGGGCTTTATTCTGTTGCATTGATCTTGTGTCTTTTCCTCTGCTAATACCATGCTGTTTTCATTATCAAAGCTCTGTGGTATAATTTGAAGTCAGCATGATACTTCCAGCTTTGTCCCCCCCCTCCACCCCTTCAGGATTGCTTTGATTATTTGAGGTCTTTTTTTTTTTTTTTTAACCCTTTGCACTCCGAACCATTCTGGACATTGGCTATCAGCTACTCGACGCTACTTTGCGAAATGTGCGTTGAATTAACTCAATTCCCCGTAATCACTAATAAACTACAATGTCCCCTGAGAGGGGACAGCAGAGTGCAAAAGGTTAAATATATTTTATTGATTTTGTTACAGAGAGGAAGAGAGAGGGATAGAGAGTTAGAAACATCGATGAGAGAATCATCGATCAGCTGCCTCCTGCACACCCTCCACTGGAGACGTGCCCGCCGCCAAGGTACATGCCCTTGACCGGAATCGAACCCGGGACCTTTCAGTCCGCAGGCCGACGCTCTATCCACTGAGCCAAACCGGTTTTGGCTATTTGAGGTCTTTTGTAGTTCCATAAAAATCTAATGATTTCTTCTTCTATTTCTTTAATGGGGATTTTGATGGGGATTGCATCAAATCTGTGTAGTGGCTTGGGTAATATGGCCATTTTAACTGTGTTGATTCTTCCAATCCATGAGCATGGGATATTTTTCCACTTTGTTGTGTCCTTTTCAGTCTCTTTTAATTATGCTTTATGATTTCCAGTATATAGGTCTTTCTTAGTCTTTGTTATGTTTATTCCTATGTATTTTATTCTTTAGGTTGCAAATGCAACAGGAATTTTTTCCTCCATTTCTTTTTCTGAAGTTTTGTTTTGAAGGCAATGGATTTTTGCACATTAATTTTTGTATCCTGCAACTTGACTGTATTTATTTATTGTTTCTAATAGTTTTATGGTGGAGTCTTTAGGGTTTTTTATATATAAAATCATGTCTGCAAAAAGTGAGAGTTTGCCTTCTTCTTTCCCTATTTGGATGCCTTGTATTTCTTTCTCTTTCCTTATTGGTCTGGCTTGGACTTCCAGCACTGTGTTGAATCAGAGTCAGTAGATTGGACATCCTTGTCTTGTTCCTGATCTTACAGAAAAACGTTTCAATTTTTTACCATTGGGTATGATATTAGCTGAGGGTTCCTCATACATGGATCTTGTAACTTATCCAGTGTTTTTCTGGATCTATTGATCAAGATCATAATTTTTATCCTAAATTTGTTAATATGGTGTATTACATTGATTGATTTAAGTATGTTGAATCATCCTTGTGCCCCTGGAAAGAACACCACTTGATCATGATGTATTATTTTTTGGATGTACTGTTGATTTTGATATGATAGTTTATTTAGGATTTTTGCATCTGTATTTATCAGAGATATTGGTCTGTAGTTTTCTTTTTTGTGTGTGTTATCTTTGCTATGTTTTGGTATTGGGGTTATATTGGCCTCATAGAAGATGTTAGGA